CCGTTGTGCTGCCGCGCCAGAACAGCGGACAGCACAGTGGTGGCGCTGGTGCTACTGCTTCCGCTGTTGTGGTGGAGGGCGTGTCGTGTCTTGGCATTGCCTGCAAGCACAGCCCCTTTGGCAACCGCCTGCCTTTTACAACGCTTGAGCTGGAGCCCACCCCACACGAGGCAAGCCAGCTGGCGGCGTATGTGGGCACAGATGACACGTTTCTGGGTGTTTTGCATGCGTACGCGCTTGTTCAGCACTTGGCGGCAGGTGGGTCTCTCCCGTGCACCACAACCACACCCCTTGTCACGGCACCAAGGACGACGGGCGACCCCTTGCCTCGTCCATCACCACTGCCATCACGTGTCGTGACTATTGATTTGTCATCCACGTCATCGTCGTCGTCGTCTTCTCCACCGGTCGTGCAGCAAGGAAAACCAACGAGCAGCAATCGCGCGCACACCCAACACAGCAAGAGCAAAAGCAAGAACAAGAACACCAGCAGCACTGCAGCCAATACCAACACTAACAAGACCACGACGAACAGCAACACCGCAGTTGATACAAGCCATGGCGACCAAAGCAGCATCAGCACGCCCGGTGACATCACGACAACATACATCAGCGCCAGAGCAGGCCTGCGTGCTGGTGTGCATGGCACCATCGTTGCGACGAGTGGGGAGGAAGTTCGCGAGCGCTTCAGCTCCGTCCTCAAGCACCTGCTGACGCGACTGGCAACAACGGCACACGCACCCACCCAGCTCGACCCACACCCAGCCACCCATCAACACAACAGCAACGGCAGCAGTGACAGCAACAACAACAACAACAACAGCCTCATAGCGGACACTCACCGCCGTGGCCGCAACCGTCACGTTGGCAGCAGCAGCAGCAGCAGCAGCAACAACAGCAACAGCAACAGTGTGTTCACGCCATCACCATCGCCAGCAGCGGGGGTGTTTGCGACTGCGTTTACTGGTAGCGATGCGCTGGATGCACACCTGCACGCCAGCAGCCAGACGCCACAGCAGCAGCACTTGTGCAGGGCTACGCTCGCCCGGTTTGTTGACGCGCTGTGCGGCGTTGTGGAGTGTCTTGCTGCAACCACACCAGAGCTTACGCAGCGGTACGGGGGCGTGCGTGTTGTACGCCAGGCGTCCATGGTGACAGACGGCCACCTCCGCGACGTGGCTGCTGGCGCTGGCATCATTATTACGCTCGACCCGTGCGTTGTGCTGTTTGCCACCAGCAGCCAGAGCAGTGATGCTCGGCAGCAGCACCATCAGCAGCAGCAACAGCAGGCGAATGTGCGGATATGCAACTGCATCTACGACGAAGACGCAGAGGCCTCTGCGCGTTGGACGCTTCGCCCACCCAGCACACAACCACTCACGAATGGTGGTGGTAAAGGTGAAGGTGGTGGTGGTTGTGGTGTTGCTGGTGGGAAGAAGCCCAATGCGCCTGCTCGACAGCACGCTCAGCAACAGACTCGTCAAGACAGCAGCAACAGTGGTCACAAGACCAACGGCACGGCAAACAACACGGCGAACAACACAGCAAACAACAAGGCCAACAACACAGCAAAGGGCAAGGCGAACAACAAGGCAAGCCGAAAGGCAAAGGGGAAGGCAAGACGCAAGGCAACCACCACCACCACCAGCAGCAGCAGCAGCGACAGCAGCATTGCAAGGGGGTTCACGCGCAGCAGGAACGCCAAGGCAGGTGCAGACGACACACCCAGCACCGCAATCACCGTCACAGCTTCCCCTGCAGTCTCCGCATCGCCCAACACACCCTCATCCCTAGCAGCCGCTTCCACTTCATCATCATCGCCACCACCATCAGCATCGTTGTCGATGTTTGCGTTGGTGCGTGCGCTGCCGTGGGTGCCCCCGCATCCCCGCCTGTGCGGCCTTCCAACACGCGATCTCCCATCCCCGGCCACTTGGGTGGACCTGCACAGCGCCCTCCCGCGCCAATCCGCGTTTGATATTGCAACGCGCACAGTGCCGCCACCGCCACTGGCACACCAGCCGACATCAGCAGCACCACTTGCCATTGCACCAGCATCAGCAGCAACAACAACAGCAACGGCAGCAACGGCAGCAACGGCAGCAACGGCAGCAGCAGCAGTAGATGCGGCCATGTCATCGGGCAGTGGAAGCAAGACGCTTCGCTTTGCTGCTGTGCCGAGCACGCCTGGACTGGATGCCACGTTTGCTTCGCAACTGCAGACGTCGCTGTGGTGCATCCCCGAGGCGTTACAGCACGTATTTGACATCAGCAGCAGCGCATTCACGTTCAGCCGCATTCTTCTGTCGCGCATTGCCTTTGGCACCATTGTGTTCACGCCGACGCTTGCCGAAGACGCTGCAGAGGCGCTCGTGGACCTGACGGCTGCTGCAGGCACACACGGCCCGGAGCAACGCACCCACAGCACACCGATGGCTGCAGGCAGCAGCAGCAACGGGCGTGGCAGCACAGTCGGTGAGCAGATGGCATCACACCAGCGGGACCAGCAGCAGGGCAAGGTGTCGTCCTTCGCAGTACCGCCGCCATCGCAACCGCTGTTGCAGGTGATTGTGACGACGCGCAGTGCGCTGCCAAGTTTCACCACCATGTACCCGGACGTGGTGGTGTGCGGGGTATGGTCGGCTTCCACCCTTGCTGCACTCAAGCAGTTTTGCAAGGCGTTTGCCACCATCAACTATGACGCGAATTGCGCTCTGTCATCACAACCACAGCAGCAGCAGCAGCAGCAGCAGCAGTTCGTGGTCAACGAAGCAGCAGCAGCAACAACAACAACAACAACAACAACAACAACAACAACAAGAATGACAGCAGCAACGGCCGTAACAGCAGCAAGCGGTGCCGGCACTGACGACATCAACGATGGCGATGACGAGGTGGTGGTGATTGACGAGAGTGCCACGCAGCGGCTCGCACACGCGCTGGACACTAGCAGCGAGAGCAGCGAGAGCAGCGAGAGCGAGAGTTCTGGGGGCGACCACAGCAGCGATGAAGACTACAATGTGGGTGAGGAGGACACCGGTGATGAGGAGAGTGAATACGAGAGAGGAAGCGAGACAACGAGCGACGAGGACAATGCGAGTGAAGAGGACATTGCTGGTGGGAGGCGCCTGTTTGTTGGGACGCGCGCGTCAAGGCGGACAGCAGAGGTTAACGGAAGTAAGAGAACAAAACACAACCGTAGCACAGGCCGCAGTAAGCGCAGTAATGGCAGAGGAAACGATGAGGACAGCGACAGCAGTAACAGCAGCGATGTTGTGCACGTCAAAGCAGGGGCAGCAAGCAGGGGCAAACGATTGGTGTTCGTCTCCAGCAGCAATGACACTAGTAGCAATGATGGCAGCAGCAGCAGTGGCAGCAGTGATGAAAGTGACAGTGACGGTGACAAGGAGCGGCAGGCAAAGGGTACGGAACCCAGCGGCAACAAGGGCGAAACGACAGCACAGGCAGAGTCAACCGTGAGCCCGTTTGTTGTGATTATGGACGCGGTATGCCTGCGCTTCTTGCGTGCGCGCAGCACCAACGCAACCGGTGCGCGTGGTCATGACGTGGTGCCACTCTCAACGGTTATCGACACCATGCTTCGCACCGCAGACGTAGAGCGGTTTGCGTGCATGGGCGTGACGCGTTGGCACACTGGGTGGGCAGATGCCACTTCCGACACCACCTCCGATACAAGTGGGGTGCTTGAGCCAGCACAGAAATACGCGCACGGGCATGTTTACTCGTTTGTGCTGCTGAACGCAGATGCAACGCGTGATGTGCACTACCGCGTTGAGGATTCTGTGTGGGAGGATGTGCGGTTCAACGAGCGCCTGCATGCGCGCGGGCTGGTTGTCCTCAAGCACCGCCTCCTCTCCGTTGTTGTTCGCCACTCCGTGGCCGACGACCGCGCCAGTGCTGGTGGTGACACTGACGCCAATGCCAGCAGCCACGCCAGCATCTCCACTGGACATACGAGTGCGCCGGTAGCGCGAGGGCGCAGCGCCGTGTTGTCATCGTCAAGAGGACCGGCAGCAGCAGCAGCAGCAGCATTACTACCACCAGCAGCAACAGCGATGCAAGCAGTTACTGGAGCAGCAACGGCGGCACCACTGGGAGGCAGCCAGCCACTCGTGTTCTGTGTGCCAAACCTCTCCATCCTCCATGCTGCTGGCGGGCAGCGTGGCCTGGGTATGCAGGAAGACGACGACTGTGTTGAGACGGCTGCCGTGACAATGAGCGTGACGTTGGCCGAGCTCGGCCTTCACGCTGACGGGCCAGGCGTGAACTACATGCGCATGTGTCGCGCCATTACGCGCAGCCTGCGGGGCGTGCTGGCAGCCAGCGACCCTGCAGCTGCTGGCCTCTTGCACACTGTTGGCATTGCAGAGCCGCTGCTGCTGCTACATCCGAACCCACCACCGCAAGGGCACGTGGTGCACGTGTCTGTGTCTGTGAGTGGATCGCAGCCACCGCCATCGCTTGTGTTTGAGCCAAGATCTCCAGCGCCTGTTGGCTGCATGCTATCGCTGCTCACGGCTGGAGGGCTGATTGCACACGACGCCGTCGTTGTTGTCCCGCCCACCTGGCCACTGGTGCCTGCATGCAATCGCTTCGCCCCCGCCATCACGGCGCCCCCTACCACTCCAAGCAATGGTCGCAACGGCAGCGGCCGCGGCCGGGGCCGGGGTCGACGGAACAACTCCGCAGGCAAGGGTGGATCGCCTGCCTTGAGTATGGTGAGAGCTGCAGTTCAGTTGCACGCACCGGTGCTGTGTGTGAGCAGTGACGAAGCGATGGCAGTGCTGATGGCTCTGAAGCAGCACCCACAGGGCGAGTGTGTGCGCCTTGTGGCTGTGCGCCCTGCCCACCCTGCCACTGAGCTGTCTGCGGCTCTGATCACACCCACGCGATGCCACAGCGCGTTCCTGCCGAGTGTTGGCTGGCACCTGGTAACACCGGCATCACACGCCAGAGAGCTGCAGACAGAGCTCCCACCGTCTTCGTTCACGCAGTCCGAACAGCAAAAGACACCGCGGCAGCTGAGGAGGCAACGACAGAAAGAGAGAAAAATCGCAGACAATCAGCAGCAACAACAGCAACAGAGGCAGGCTGCTGCCCAAGGGAAGGGCACCAAGGCTGGGGAAGCAAGCAAAACAGACATCGCAGCGGCTGCAGTTGTTGCGGCGATGAAGATGGACGGGGGCGCTCCGGAAGCGCTTGGAAAGAAGAAGACGAAGCACACAAAGGCAACACCGAGCAAGAAACAAGCCGAGTCACAGCAGCAGCATCACGAACAACAGCAGCAACAGGAGAAGAAGGAGAAGAAGAAGGAGAAAAACAGGAAGAAACAGCAGCAGGAGGAGGAGGAGGAGAAGAGGAAGAAGGGCAATGGTGTGCAAGAAGTGGCGTCTTCAGCAGCTGCGGCAACCACGACCCCAGAGCCCCTGGCCAAGAAAGCGAAGAAACAGCCATCAAAGCAGCCACAGAGCGCAAAGACAGAGAAGAAGGCAGAGATGAAGGTGGGCAAGGTGGAGCCAGCAAGCAACATAGAAGGTGAGAAGCAAGGCACCACAGTTGCCATGAGGAAGCACACAGCGCAACCGCTGGTCAGAGATATGGCAGAACCGACAGGAGGTACCGAGCAAAAGAAGGGTGTGTTGCTCAAGGCAGCAAGCGCACAGATGAAGCAGCGAAAGGCCAAGGTCAATGCACGTTCCTCCTCCTCCTCCTCCTCCTCCTCCTCGTCGTCGTCGCCCTCTTCTTCATCATCCTCTTCTTCTTCATCATCCCCCTCCTCCTCCTCTTCGTCTTCGTCGTCGTCACCATCATCATCATCACCACCACCACTGCTGCTGCTTGGACCATCGACACCATCACGGGCTGTCAGCACCACAGCCGTTGTACCGCGGCCCAAGCGAGCAATACGAGCCAAGACAGGCACGCAGACGCCACGCACAGCGGCGCTTGCAGCTGTCAAACGGACAGCCCGTATGCTCGCCACAGCGTCAACGTCATCGTCGTCATCATCATCCAGCAGCGACAGCAGCGACAGCAGTGACAGCAGCGACGAGGATGATGAGGATGACGGGAAGGGTGCTGTTCGGGTCAGAGCTGGCACTGCAAGCACAGGCAAGCGGCTTGTGTTTCTGTCCAGCAATGACAACAGCAGCAGTGACAGCAGCAGTGACAGCAGCAGTGACAGCAGCAGTAGTGAAGAAGAGGAGCATCCGGCAAAGAAGACCAAACGGACGCCTGCAAGGCTGAGCACACGCGGTGAGCAGAAGCAAAAACAGTTGACCGGCAGGAACAGTGACAGTCGCAAGGGCGGAAAGGCCGTTTCTGGCAAGGCCCCACCATCAGCGTTGCCACAGAAACAGAGGAATGGGAAGGCGAGCAAGAGTGGGCAGCAGTCGTCCCCTCAGGCGACGAACAGCGCAGCCGGCAAGACACCGCCGCCAGCGAAGAAGAACCAGACGAAGCAGCAGCAGCAAAAGCAGCATCAGCAGCAGCAGTTCAAAAGCAAGGGCAAGGCGGAGAAGGCTGCGCCCAGTGGCGGGGACGCCGTAAAGGGCAAAGCGCAAGGCAGTACGGGCAGCAATACGAACAGCAAGCAGGGCAGGGCAGAGCTGACGAAGAAGGGCAAGCAGAGCAAGAAAGAGGGCGAGAAGACAAAGGCGAAGAAGCAGCAGTCAAAACAGCAGGGAAAGAAGACGAAGAAGAAGAAGAAGAAGAAGAAAGCCCCAGGCAGTGGCTGCGATGATCGTGACAGAAACAACAGCGCCAACAACAATGACAAAGGTGGAGGAAGTGGAAAGAGCACGGGCAAAGAGGCTGGCAGCAAGAGCAAAGAGACAAGCACGAAACAGGCTGCGGCCCAGGCCAGCAGCACCGGCTCCCGGGACAGGACAAACAAGAAGAAGCAGAAGCAGCCACAAGACAAGAAGACGAAGAAGAAGCAACAACAGCCAACGCAGAAGCAGGGCCAAAAGAGCGGCATGAAAGGCGAGGGCGGTGAGGAGAAATGCAGCAAAGCTGTGACAACTCAGAACAACGGTAGACAGCAGAAGCAGCAGAAACCAGAGCAGCGGACGGAAAAGGCTGGCAGCGCGGGTGTTAATGCCACCAACAACGTCTCGTTTGTGATTGAGGCGGCCAATGAGAACCGGCTGGTGGTGACATCTCCAGTACGTGCGACAGGGAAGAGGACGGCCTCGATGCGGGACGCTGCGACCGTCAGCAGCAGCAGCAGTAGCAGCAAGAGCAAGAAGAGCAAGAAGGGCAAGACGAGCAGCAGCGAGAGTTGTAGCAGCAGCAAGAGCAAGAAGAGCAAGAAGGGCAAGAGCAGCAGCGAGAGATGCAGCAGCAGCAGCAGCAGCAAGGGCACGGGCAAGAGCAGCGGTGGGGGCGGCAGTGATGTCGACAATGTACGCAGGAGGACGCTCTCCGCAGGTGCAGAGCCACCATCACCGCCAGAACAGCGGACGACGAAGAGCAAGAAAGGCGAGGAGCGCCAGGAACAGCCGCCGCCGCCGCCACATCTCCAAGGCTCCAATGAGAGCGCAGCAAGTTCTAGCAAGGCCAAGCAAACTGTTGAGCAAGCTGCCCTGCATGGCTCCAGCACGACTGCGGCACGCCGCACGACAGCCCCACCGTCGTCATCGTCGTCCGCTCAGCCCGAGGCGCATCGGCAGCACATCATCACACCCTTCCCATTGCCACCACACCCCTCGCGCCCACTGCAGCAGCAACAGCAGCCACAACCGCAGCAGCACCAGCATCAGCAGCGAGGGCAAGGTCACGTCATGCAGTCCGCAGCGCAGTCACAGTCGAGTGCGCAGGAACGGCCACCACTTCTGCCGCTGCCAGGCACCGTGCCACCCATCTCGCTCGCTGCCAGCAGAGAGGCAGAGCGCTGGTCCACCACAACCGGCATGCGGTGCCGCGTGGGGTTTCCAACACGCGAGGAGGAAGACCGGGGCCACGACGACGGGTATCATAACCGCCGCCGCCGGCACCGTGATCGCCATCATCGCAGCGAGCGGATTGGGCGGCGCGAGTGGTGGGATGGGGAGGAGGTGGAGGAAGAGGAAGGGCCACGGGGAGGAAGGAGGCGAGAGTATCGCATGGGGAGGAGGGACCTTCGGCCTCCGCACCCAATGTCTTCCGTGCAAAGGAGCGGTGATCACAGGCGAAACCCGATGATGCCACCGGCGGCGCCGCCGCCACCACGCCCCCTGAGCAATGGCAAATGGCTACCCCAACCATCCTCAGCCGCACCGTCATCGACGTTGTACCGCCAGCACTCAATGCATCGAGGAGTGGCAGTGGGCCCGCCACCACCGCACTTGCCGCCACCGCCCGCGCTCGCCCAGTCGTCGTCTCTGCATCCGCCCGCGCAGCCGTACCCGCATCACGCGCCATATTCACAACGCACGCCGTTTGGGTCCCACGCGCCACCACTGCGGCACGCCTCAAGTACGCACTGGTCCCATACGCGCGGTGCCGTGCAGCCCACACTGCCGCATCACACCTCGCGCACGCGCCACGACCACAGCCATCATCGTCGCGACCAGCAGCAGCAGCAGCAGCAACAGCAGGCGGATGAGAGGGAGGGCGCATCGTTTGTGCACTTCCAGACACCCCAACGCGTCACAACACACACGGCATCAGGCCGCATGGATGGCGGCGATGGTGATGGCAGTGGTCACTGGGATGAAGAAGGAGGAGGTGGTGGTGAAGGTGGTGATGATGATGCAGATGGGGGCGTGTCGTTGACATCGTCACCGCACATTGCGCCCTCTGCCGCTGGGCCGCGGCGGTCTGTGTACGCAGCCGCGCGGCTTCGATCATCAACCAGGACAACAACAGCAGCAGCAACAATAGCAGCAACAGCAGCAGCAGCAGCAACAACAACAGCTGTGGTGGCAAGCACTGCAGGAGCAGCAAGCGGCTCGTCATCGTCGTCAGCGCCACAGGCGCTGGCACTGGATCGGCACAGCAGCGCAAGCAGCAGCAGCATGGCTGATGGTGGCGATGACCCTGGCGCGGAGGACTATGCACAGTACACGGACAAGCCGGCACGCAGGAGGCGCACAGGGAGGAGGAAACGGTGTCCCGTGTGCAAGGTCAAGAACGCCCCCAACAGTTTGTGAGTATCGTGTGTGTGTGTTGTTTTGTTTGTGTGCGAGTGCGTGTGTGGTTGTGTGTGGTTGTGTGTGTTGTGTGTGTGTGCGAGTGCGTGTGTGGTTGTGTGTGGTTGTGTGTGTGTGTGTGTCGGTGTCACACGTGCTTTGCACCTAGTTCAACCACAGCCTAACGTGTTCTCTGCCCTGCATGCCACTTTGATAGGATTTGTTACGGGTGCCAGGGTGTTGCTCGTGGCGTGTTTCACCGGATGAAGGACAAAAAGCTGATTCCGAAATCACTCAATCGCAAGGCGCTCGCTGGCGGTGTGTACGATTTGCATGTATGCTTGTGTGCGTGTGTGTTTGGTTTTGTGTGTGCGTGTGTGTGTGTGTGCGTGTGTGCGTGCGTGTGTGTTGGTTTTGTGTGTGTGCGTGTGTGTGCGTGTGTGTGTATGGTTTTGTGTGCGTGTGTGTGTGCATGCTTTGCGTGTGGGTGCCGCTGTTCATGTTCGTGTGTCTGTGCACACGTCCATGTGCTGTTCAGCTTGTGCGATCGCTGTCCCCTTGTTTCTCTTTGGTTCACCCCAGATGCTCCCTCTGCTTCTGCTTCTTCTTTCCGTGCAACCGCAACAGCTCTGAAGCAAAACTACAAGGGTCTCAAGCGGTCAAGGAAGCGCTGCACCTTCCACTGCAAGAAGTTTGGTGTGTGAAGATGTGTGTATGTGAACGCTTGTGTGTCTGCATGTGTGTGTGTGTGTGAGTGAAGATGTGTGAACATTTGTCTGCATGTGCGTGTGTGTGCAAAAGCACCGCGCCGGCACGGCTGCACCACACACCTGTGGCGCTTCTCCTCCTCCTTCTAACCGCTACTTACTTGCCAACGCCACAATGCACACACATTCTCAGGGCGAGGCCGTTGCGACGTGTGCACCACGCGCTTCATGATCAACAACTTCTTCGACCACGTTGTCTTGGGTGAGTTTTGAGCGACAATCTAATCGACGTGGCCATGGCATGGTGTGGCATGGTGTGGCATGGGAGGCCACTGCCATCTTTGTGTACCGCCACCCCCCCCCACCCACAACGCACGCACACACACACACCCACACATACACACACACACACACACACACACACACACGCACACACCATCATGACAACACTGGATGATGATGATGCTCCTCAAAGTCCTCCTCCAAGTTACTCACTGACACAACGGTTTTTTGTGTGTTTGTTTGTATTTGTATTTGTATTTCTTCTCCTCCCCATTGCGTAACTGGGAACAGATTACAGCCTGGACTCGGCCAGTGGGTGACATGTTTTCGTTCAGTGCCAGCAAGCAAGCAAGCAGGGAGACCAGCCAGCCAGCCAGGCAAGCAAGCGAGGCACCACCAGAACACAGTGTTGTCATCATTTGGCATCACATGTCGCCTCGCACGTGTTGGAGGGAAATTGCAACTGCTGCGCACGCTGACTCACGTTCGCTTTTCTTCGCGGCGTGTTTTTTCCCTTTGCTCGCTCCAGCTTGTTCCGGGACATGTCTTGCATCATGGGCGGTAGAATTGTGTATATCTTTTAATAATATTCTAAACGACCTTCAAGGACGGGAAGATAGCCTGCCCGATTTTCAAGCAGAGTGGCGTGTGCTGGGGAAGGACGCAAAAGGCACACGCTTACACCCGCTGCAAGGCGCAAAGGCTCAACTGCACCACGCCACACATGCCACTTCCCCCCACCTCACCCACAACTCGCACACAACACCTCCTGACACTCTGGTGCACGCCTCCTGGCTGCCTCCCTCCCTGCTTCCTCCTTCTTCCTCTTTCTTACCCCCCCCCCTCCCCCCTTTGAGGTGTTGGTTCACCTTACACCATCGTGACAACGACAGCGTTTTACCGGTTCCTCCAGCTTTTGTGTTGATTCACAACACCACACACACACACACACACACGTACACATCGCATCTCCACTGTGTGCCACTTTCCATACGTCATCGTCGACTCCAAATGACTGATGCACTCCCACTCATTTTGACGACGAACACCCACTGACTCTCGCTCAGTGCCTTGCTCCTTCTCCTTGCTTTTGACGCGCCGTCATTGGCTTCCTTCCTTTCCAACCAACCAAGCAACAACGCCCATACACACACGTACACACAGCAAAGACAACCCCAACGACATACTCAAACGCATCCACACACCCACACAGAACATGCACACACACGCGCACAACAGCGCGATACGACAGTGCTGCGCGCTTGCCGTGCTGGCACTGGCGCTGTGCAGCTCTTCAGCCCAAACTGCCCACGCACAAGAGTTGCAGTGGCCCACAGTGACGGAGCTGGCGACGGAGGACGCCCGCTTCATCTCAAATGACACGGCATCGGCATGGCGGTTCCACTTTGTGCAGAGCGAGGCCACTTCGCCGGGCATCGCCGACAACCCCGATCGCTTCCACGCCAGGCTGTACCTGCGCTTTCGCAACGAGACAACGCCGCACGGCGCGCTGGAACCGCAACGTCAGGAGCGGCCCAACTTCTTCTGCATCGCCACCGCCACCTCGTACAACGCTCGCTGGGTGCTGCACAACAACGTCACCGGCGTCGTCAGCCTCGCCGGTGGAGTGGACACCTACTTCAACCTGAGCGTGGTGGAGGTTGACACGGCGTTCATGGGCGACAACGCAACAAACGTGTACGTGCTGCAGACGCCAGCTGGTGGCGCGATCCTCGGTGCCACCGCTGCATCGGGACCCTGGTTTGTCTCCGATGTCCAGTGTGGTGTGACCCTGAGTACTGTGCAGTCGTTCCCAGCCGTGGTTTCGGACTGCGACACTCAAGCTGCTGTGGCCGCGAGCGCATGTGGATTCACGCAGCCGCGCCTTCGCGATGTGGCCAGCCCGATGCTGGCCGCGCTCACATTCGAGCCAACCAACTTCAGCACCACGGCGCGCCCGCGCGAGATCACGGCCACGCTCATCGCCCTCGATGACTTCTCTGCCGTCTCCAGCTGCCAGGTTGTCGTGCAGTCTGACACCAACGTGCTCAGCCAGCGAGCCGAGTTCGTCCCGCGTGGCACGGCCACCCTTGCCGACATCACACCGCTCGGCTCGGGCACCTACCTGGACCAGGTTGTCCCCGACGCCGCCGTCGTCACACGGCTGCAGGGCACGTTTGTGTTCCCGCGCTACACCCCCATGGGCACGTGGTCGGTGACCAGCATCTTCTGCGCGGACGTCAATGGGCACACGACGCGCGCCTTCTCGGTGCATCTCGAGCGCATCCAAGAGCTCGCGTCGCCGTTCCAGCCCCAGATCATGCAGCGAGGGGTGGGGGACATGGAGCCACCAAGCCCTGATGCAGGCGCAGGCCCACCGCTCACCCTCGATCCAACCGTGGTGGACACCTTCTACGAGCGACAGCTCATTGATGTGCGCCTGGCAGTGACTGACGACCTGTCTGGCGTTGTTAGCTGCCGGGTAACGTTCACCCCCGACACTGATGACAAAGGCGTCTCGGATAGCCTTGCTGTCGTCCTGGATGAGATTGTGTTTGGCAACACCACAAATGGGGTGCTGTATGGCAGTCTCAATGTCCCCGCCTTCTCTCGCAAGGGCGGGTGGATTGTGTCACGTCTCACGTGCAGGGACGAAGCACAACACTCGCTCATCCTGCAGGACGCCCGCGCGCTCATTGAGCTGACAGAGGGCGGTGCCGGCTTTGAGCAAGATGGTGAGGACGATGTGATCCCGCCCGTCATCCACGCCTTTGCCCTCTCGCGCACCGTCATCGACACCAGGTCTCCTTGCGTGTGCTTGTTGTTGTTTAAGTTGTTGTTGATGTTGTTGTTGTTGTTGTTTAAGTTGTTGTTGATGTTGTTGTTGTTGTTGTTTAAGTTGTTTAAGTTGTTGTTGTTGTTGTTGTTATTGTTGTTGTGCGTGTGCGTGCATGTCTTTGTCTTTGAGCTGGTGATTGTGTGTGTGTATGCGTGTGCGTACGTGTGTACTCGCAACTATGGTGCGTCATGCATCCGGCTCATACCATGCCAATGGCACTCTATCCGTGTCTACTGCCGCCTCCCTCTCCCCATTTGGCAGTGAATCGTCACAAACGATTCGGTTTTCCTTCAATGTCACGGACAACATTGAGGTTGCTTCCTGTTACCTCTCTCTCCGCTTCGAAGAACTTGGCCGCCAATCCCGCGCCGTGAGTCGCTCTTGTTCATTTGTTCGTTTCTTTGTATGTGTGTGTGTGTGTGTGTGTGTGTGTGTTGTGAACGAGTGCGCAACTCTCATCTTCCTCACTCAAAGCTCGTCATCCCCCCGCGACTATTCCAACAACTAATCCAACAACCACCACACCTGCCTTCTCCCCCTTATCCCTTTGATTTAGATGACACTCTACCCGACAGGCGTCCCCGGTGTGGTTGCACAGGACATCGTGTTTGAACGCGGCACGCCATCGGGCTTCTGGTACATCAACCACGGATATTGCTCCGACCTTGCAGGCAACCAGGTAGAAAGTGTGCTCGTGTGTTGTGTGAAGTATGTATGTAGTGTGTAGTGTGTATGTGTCTGTGTGTCAGCTTCATGCCAGCTTCATGTCATTGTCCTTTTGTGTCTTCGTGTTGCCACCATGTCTGCAGACCCTCTTTGCACACTCGAACAATCGCAATCTCGTCCACGACTCATCTCTTCTCTCCTGCTTACACCCATCATCAACGCCACCGCTGTTGCACAGGCGGTGCTGACCACCATGATTATGGACGTCACTTTCCCCGACGGAGCTTTGTACGGGTTCAACCAGACGGGTCGTGGCGACGGCAGCCCACCTGTCATCACAGCCATTCGCCTCTCCCACAACAAGACGTCTCAGGCACAGGGGCAGCCAATCAAACTCGAGGTGCGTGTGCGCGCGCGCGTGTGTGCTTGACTGTGCAACTGTGCGATCGTGCGACGATATTCTTTTGTGAGAAATATGCTTCCACATATCTCACTCATCAACTTGCACCACCATCACCACCGTCCCTCATCGTCGTCGTCATATCAGGTCGTCGTGAGCGACAACACTGCTGTTTCACTGTGTTCGGCTTATTTTGCCTCTGTCGGCACCGGCAAGAGCTTCAGCGTAACCGTCAACACATACACGGGGCCAGCAGAGGTGTGCTCGTGTGGCATGTATGTGTGTGTGTGTATGTGCGTATGTGCGTATGTGCGTGTGATCGTCGCTTGTTGTGCTGTGTGTGTGTGTGGGTGTTGTGTGCCAATGCCCTCGAAGTTGTTCCCCCGCCCCCAACCACTGTGCATTTCATTCCGCTCACACATCTGCTCGACCTTTGCATTTATCGTCTTCGGTTCACCACACACCAGGGTGGCGCGTCTGTGTTTGAAGGCGATGTGATGCTGACGCAGCAAGACCAGATGGGCACATATGCAATCGTGACTGTGCGCTGTGTGGATGTGTTTGGGCTCTACGCGGACCTTTCTGGCGGCGAAACTGTTGCCATCCTCAGCCCACCTGGCGTTGGTATTGAACATGATCTCGTGCAGGACATTGTCATCCCGAGCGTGTGGATGCTTGACACCGTTTGGGACGAGGCCGCCCTCAACGTCACCACCACTTGGACCGTCACCGACGACGTCGCAGGTGTGTGTGTGTGTGTGTGTGTCTGTGTGTGTGTGTGTGTGTCTGTGTGTGTGTCTGTGTCTGTGTGATGTTTATGTGTGCATGCGGTGTGTCTGTGTATGTGCATGTGTGCGTGTCTGTGTGTGTCTGTGTGTGTCGTGTGTTTTCTCAAATGTTGACCACTGTCCTATTCCGAGATTGTACATCCCCTGCAACCCAACTCCCAGCCACTTCCCTCTTCCTCCCCCTCCCCCCTTCCACTCAACCCCCCAACCACCACCATCATCACCCTCCCCCCCCAACCACCATTGGCAGGTGTTGAGCGCTGCTCTGCGGTGTACCAGTCTGCCCTCGTGCCGCAGCAGACGCTTGTAATCGAAGCCACCCTCTCACCGCCTACGACAGACGGCGTGCTGAGCGCCACAGTTCATCTTGAGACATACTTCCCACACGGGCAGTGGACGCTGGTGGAGACCGAGTGCGAGGACGCCGCTGGACGCATGCTTCAGCTGACCCAACCCATCCTTGAAGCCCGTTCGCACTACTCGCGGTCCTTCGTCAAGGCGACGACCGGCGACGTTGCTGCGCCCGTGGTCCTGTCAGCCTCCCTCTCCACCCGCGTCATCGACACGTCCTTGGAGGAGGAGCGCGTCACGCTCACGATGGACGTCAAGGACGACTTTGTTGGTCCAGCGGAGTGTAGGGTCACCTTCACCGCTATTGGACAGGCCAACCCGGTGCGGGGTGTTGCAACCAAGTTTGCCAACCGCGAGGCACCAGCCAACGTGACGACCATCAGTCTCCAGCTGACGTGGCCTCGCAGCAGCGTCGCCGCCGTGTGGAACGCAACCGAGATTCAGTGCTCGGACGAAGTCCTGCCCAACCGTGAGGTCCTCACGCGCGCGTATGACGCAGAGGAGCTGCGGACCGAGTTTCCACAGCTGCAGGTGACGCAAGAGGGCGCGGGGGACGTGCTGCCTCCCTCCATCTTCAGCGTGAGCTTTGAGAACGACACGGTCAACACGGACACGGGCCCACAGACAGTGCTGCTCACCGTGCGCGTCAGCGACGACTTTTCGGGGCCAGACGGGTGTTTTGTGCGGCTTTCACAAGAGAACACCGTCACGCTGGAGCCACCACAGGACATGTTTGTGTACCCGGGCTGCTATGTGCAGGGGTCCACGTACACGCCAAACGAGGTTGTGGAATGCAGCGCGCTGTTCCGACTGCCGCAGTGGTCAGCAGGCGCAAACTTCCGCCTGACAGAGGTGCTTTGCGCAGACAGGTCAGGGCGAACGCGAACCATCGATCGCACCCAACCGCGCGACAAGTGGCCACCCAACCTGGACCAGATTATTCTTGTCCAGGAGGGGCGTGGCGATGCGGAGGCGCCCGTGGTCACCCACCTCCAGCTGACACCCGCACGCATTGACACGACGCTCTCTGCACAAGTTGTTCGTGTGCATCTTGACGTCACTGATGACGGCAGCGGTGTCACCCAGTGCGACGCCACCATCACAGATGTCAACGTAAGCACCATGTTTGTGCGTGCTTGTGTGCGTGTGTGTGTGTGTGTGTGCGTGGATGGGGTTAACGATGAATGCGTGGCGTATATTCGCGTGGTTTATGTGGTTGTATGGTGGTGGACATGAGAGGTCTTGGATTATTGTTGTGTGTGACGGAGTCGTTGTGACAGACAAGTGTGAAAGTGGCTGGCGTGCTTGACGTGTCAGAGTGTGCTTGCATGTTACCCATATTCACCCTTGACCGGCGCTCGCTGTACTTGACGTTTGCTGCCAAAGGGCGAGGACATGGTGCACATTGTCCGACCCACCCTGCCCGTCAGAAACACTTCCATCATCATCCCCTTCACCATCTTCCAGTCATCCCCAAGCGTGAGTTGCCAGCGACATGTGTGTGGGTGTGTGGGTGTGCGTGTGTGTGTGTGTATATATATATATATGTATATGTGTGTGTGTGTGTGTGCGTGCGTGGTTGACATTGATGGATGTACAACGTGTCTAGTCCTTGCAGTGGCGTGCGCACTGCTTTGACCGTCTCATGCCTCTACTACCTCACACAATTGACGTGTTTATTGGTGCGAACATCCCCTCACAAAAAAAAACACACACACACACACGCACGCACGCACGCACACACACACACACACACACACACACACACACACACACACACACACACACACACAATGCTACAGGGTCGGTTGCACTTGTCGCGAGTGCGCTGCCAAGATTTGTCTGGCAAGGAGCGCCTGTATGCAACTGACAGCCTCTCACGTCTTGCACAGGACTCCGGCTCGCCTCTCGTTGTGCGGCAGACCGGCGTAACAGACACGTCGCCACCACAACTCACGCGCATCGTTGTACAGCCCCTGTCACCAGTCCCATCCAATGTTGTCACCGTCACTGTCACGGCGGATGTGAGCGACGACGCAAGCGGTGTTGCCCGCTGCCAGCTCTACTTTGGCTCTTACTCGCAAACAGTTTCACCGCCCATTCTCGTGCGCGACGCAACGCTCAACTTTGTCTTCACGGTTCGTTTGCGTGTGCGTATGTGTTGTGGGTGGCAAACCCTGTCAGGATGGTTGTGCGACCATGATTATAAATGCCTGTGTTTGCTTGTGCACATGTGTTAATGTGTATGTTTCCAACCTGCTTTTTTAACCACCCCCCCCCCAACACACACACACACGCACGCACACACAACACAACCCAGGTGACGCCCGATGAGCTGTCTGGCCTGCGTCTGTCGTTCATGTCGTGCGAGGACGGTGCGGGGCAGAACGCATTCATCTTCAACTTCTTTGGTCTGCCCAACAGCCAGCCCAACCTGATCATCCCCTCCACGTACGACACGACGCCGCCCGCTCTCGCCTCTGTGTCCGCGCTCGGCGGCGCACAGCAGATGGACATTGTCATTACCGACCCCCAACAGCCCGTGCAACTTGTGCTGTTTGCGGACGTGAGCGACGAGACGCAGCAAGGGCTGGAGTGCGACCTACAGTTTTCGCACAGCGAGTCGTTCTCCTTCAGCCAGACGTTTGTGGCATCGCAGCCAGCAGTCACGGGCGCAAACGGTGTCATGGGCACGTTCCTGCAGACGGAGGCACTGCCACAAGGGCTCCTATCCCTCTCGCAAGCAAACTGCCGTGACGCAAGCAGAAACGCCCGCCGCTCCTTCTTCTTCTTCAACGTGAGTAAACATCATTCATCGCTTGGACATTTGTGCATGTGCGTGTGCATGTGAGTGAATGTGTGATTGTCATCCTTTTGCATCCAACGTCCATCTCGCTCGCACCTCTTCTCTCTCACCGCATCTCATCCCCCCTTTCCCCCTTCTCTCTTTCTCTCTCGTCAACTCTCTTCCCCCCCCCCACACTCTGTCCTCCTTCTCTCCTACGTTTCATCACCCAGTCGCCGGTTGTGCTGAATGTGACGAGCCCAATCACGGTCGACTCTGGCCCGCGCTTCCAATCGCTCGTAGTGGACGACGTAATACCACCATCGCCGGCACACGGCGACGTTGTCAGCGTCACCATCACTACCATCCTTGAAAGCGCTCTGCCGCTCACGTCGTGCACGGCGGATGTACACAACTTCCTGCACGGACAGTCGTGGCCGCTCACAGTGGTTTCGGGTCTCAACACGGAGCCAAGCAACGGCGTGCTGCGCATCGGATTTGAGGGCGAGATCCCATCAGCCGTGCAGGGGTACCACTCGTTGGCCTTCCTCACGTGCTTCGACACGGCCAACCGGCGCCTGTACTCGTCTAATGGCCCAACCATCATGAACGTTGCGTCGCCAGGAACCTATGCGCTCGATCACGTGACCCTGGCCGCCACAAACACGACGTCATTTAGCGGCGAGAAGCTTGTGGCCACTGTCCACTTTGAGGCCGCAATCGACTTTACGCCCAATGCCGGGCGGGCGCGCCGTGCCGACAACGACGGTGATGGCGTTGCTGACGAGCTGCAGTTTCACGGATGCGAAGCGCGTGTGTCCACGTCACGCACGACGCCAGGCGACAACTTTCCCCTCACGGTGCAGGGGGTTGCTGTGTCGCATGACATCCAGGCTCGTGATGACAACAGTGGTGTCACGGCGTGGTTCACGCTGGCAGTTGTGGACCTTCCCCTCAGCCCGGAGGCCGATGCCAGCGAAATCTGGTATGTGGAGCGCTTGGAGTGCTGGAACAACGAGACGCGCACAACCCTGTCCATTGTGGAGGTGAACGCGGAAACAGCGCCAGACCGCGTGCAGCTGTCCATCCCGCTCCCAGCTGCGCTGCCCTCGACCATGGAGAGTGACGTTGGTGGCCCCGCCATCAGCGATGTGTCCCTCACCCTGTTTGCCCGGCCGGGCGGCCGCGTGAGCCTGCTCTCATCCAGCACCGTGGTTGACGAGGCCGGCGTGCGCCAGGTGCAGTATGGCCTGCGTTTGACGTCCACATCTGGGGACGCCGTCAAGTCGTATGTGCGCGCTGTGCAGCTGCACAGGGCTGCCACAGTTGGTGCACAGCCCGCCACGGCGAACGATGAGCTGTCGCTGCCGCTGCTGCTGACCCGGGACGAGTTCACCACATTGGGCATTGCCAGCGCCAACCCCAACGACGCGATCGCCACCGTTGAGCTGCACACGGCGTATGCCATCGACTTTCTTGCAACGCCAACGCTGCTCTTCACGGCCAACACGAGCGTGGAGTTGACGGCGGCGCACTTTGCACTGCAGCCAACGCTCAACAGCGCTGCCGCTGGTGCACTGAACAACACCCTCACGACGACCACCACCACCAGCAGCACGGCCGATGCGAATGAGGCCAGCATCCCAGCATCTGTTGCCGCCTTTGGGCAGGGCGCCCACACGATTGTTCCCCGCACGAGCACGCTGCTGCCTGCCAACGCCACTGCACCGACGGCATTTGAGGTGCGCAGCACAGCGGCACTGTATGGGCCCGAGGATACCTTTGCCAGCCGCTTGCAGGCGCACCAGTGCCGCATGCGCGCCATTATCGCCAACATTACCGCCAACAGCGACAGCGGCGCTTTGGACCCCAGCGCCGATCTGAGCGGGCCACGCATTACGCAAGCAGCCATCACACCGGGCTACCTGCTGCTGCACCCAACCAAGCCGGTGGAGGTTCACGTGACGGCCACGGCGGTGGATCTGACGTCCCCCGCGCGCGAGTGCGTGGCTGTGCTTGGCAACGCGGCCGGCAGCGCGAGGGCGACGGTCTCGCTTGACGTGGTTTCGTTTGATGCCACGAGGAAGCAGACGTTCCTGGAGACGACGATAGTCTTCGATGCTGGCACGCTTCCAACCAGCACCGTCACCATTGTTGACTGGTTCTGCGTAGACGCGCTTGGGTTTGTGGCGTGGAAGGACCAGCAATCGACAGGGTTCAAGACGCCACGCATGGTGTCGAGTCTGCCCTATCCATCGGGCATACCGACGCTGCTGTCTGCGCGCGTGCTTGAGAGCTCCGTTGCTGTGAACACCAACATGGCCCCCAGATCCGTGCAGGCGGACGTGTGGATCAACGCGCAGGAGACGGGCACGCACACGTGCCGCGTCGCGCTGTGTGCACCGGGCAGCCCCCCAACAGACGGCAGTGACACCACGGCTCGCATGGCCGTGCCCCAGGCAGCGGTGTGGCTGGAAGGCAGTGACGACGAAGCCAATGGTGGTGATAAGGCGCTGTTTGCCGGTCCCAGCGCCAACTTTGGCACCACGCCAGAGGCCGCGGCACTGGGCCGCTCGGGCGTGCGTCGCGTGCGTGTGTCTGGCACGTTGCCGCGGTACTCGCTGACGGGCGCGTGGGAGGCGTGTCGTGTGGAGTGCACCACACCGCGCGGCACCAGCACCGCGGCCCTGCGTGAAACGGATCTCCAGGCCATCTTTGGAGGATCGAGCCAAATGGAGGGGCACATTGTGAACCAGAACGGGCGCGTGGTGGACCGTGCCTCCCCAACGGTTGAGCGCGTGGATGTGGTGAGCGCACGTGGCGTTACCACACGCCATGCCGGCGCCGGCGTGCTGATGGTTGATGTGCCCGGTGATGAGCTCCAGCTGCGCGTGCGTGCGAGCGACGATCAGAGCGGCGTTGCGCGCGTTGCACTCGTGCTGACGCGGCAGACATGCGAGGTTGGCCACGTGTGCGCGGGCGAGTGTGCGCTGCACAACACACAGCGGCGGATGGTGGAAGGTGCTCTGGTGCCTTCACCGACCAGCAGCGTTGGTGATAGCGGCGCGCTGCAGCTTGAGAACAACGAGGGCGTGGTGGCCTTCAACCTGTCACAGGTGACGCCCGGTGACTGGGAGCTGTCGCACGTGGAAGTGTCGGATGGCCTCGGTCGCTTCACCACGCACACGCTGGCGGCCGTGTTTGGCGATGGCAGCCAGTACACCACGATTGCTGCACGCGTTGTTCTGGGCGAAGTGTCAAGCACAAACACGCCGCTGGCCACTGCAACCACGGACAGCACGACGGACAGCGCGAGTGCGCAGGTGAGCACGACGCCTGTGGGTGCAACGACCGGCAGCAACAACAACAACGACGAGGGTGGGTTCCCCATCGTGATCATCGCTGCAGCAGCTGGCGGTGCTGTTGTGGTCATTGTTGTTGTTGTCGTTATTGTCGTTGTCCGCAAGAAGCGCCGTCGCCAGAAGGAGAGCCGCCCCCGCCCAGCGCCATTCGAATCGGTGCGTGAATGCCTGCATGTGTGTGTATGTATGTGTGTATGTGTGCTTGCATGTGTGAGTACTTGCATGTGTGTGTGCATGCGTGCATGCTTGCATGTGTGAGTACTTGCATATGTGTGTGTGAATGCTTGCGAGCGTGTTGCACTTCAACGCATGTAGCAACACGTGCAAGGAATTGCTCCCTTTACGGCTCTTACGCTTCATCACTTGCTCCAATCTGTGTTGTCGCCGCTGTCAGGCCTCGCGCGTGCGTGCTGCATCGATGAGCATTCGCAAGCAGAGCATCGACCGCAACGTCGGAATGGGATTGCGCGACTTGTCAAAGCTCCGAACGTGCGTGGCCTTGTTGTGTGGAATGGTGTGTGTGCATGCGTGTATGTGTGTGCGTGTGCGCGCGTGTGTGTGCATGCGTGTGTGATGGTACGATGTTGGTGGCATTCAATCAAAACAAACGCATGTGTGTGCTTGTGTAATTTCATCCATCTATTTCTTCTCACGCTGTTGTTGACACCTTCTCTTCGCCTTTCCTCCTCTTTTTTTTTCTGTTGTTTTGTTTCACACAGGCGCGGATCAACGGAACAAATCTCTGTGCAGCAGCCTTACGACGACGGGTGCGTTGCCCCGCTTTCTGTTTGCATTTGTATGTGTGTGTGTTTGTTCGATGGATGCTGCCAAATTTTTACACACACGCACATATGTGTAGCGTGACACACGTAAGCGCCCGCACACGCATACACACACACACACACATACACACACACACATACACACACACACACACACATGCAAGTTGCCGCTCACGTGCCCCCCCCGCACACACACACACACACACACACACACACACACACACACACACACACACACACACACACACACACACACACCATCTTGAATGCGTGCGCAGGTATCTGAATGTGAAGGGAGCCGATGAGGGTGGTGATGGCGATGATGACTGGAAGAAAGAGGACGTTGATCTGGCGGAAACCACGTTTGAGTTCCTGCCCTCCTCCCGCGACAGGCCTTACATGGAGCCAACGGTGCGTGCAGCAGAGCCTGCCGTGTATGCCAGGGCCGACAGCGAGGCGAACCGCTACAGCGACGTGGACTTCACGCAGCAGCCAGGTGTGCAGAGTGGTGGTCGCACGTATCTAGAGCCCGTTGTGCCCACCGTCAACCCAACATACTCGCAGCCGCGCGTTGCCGATGCCAGCTCTGGCGGGCGCACGTATCTTGAGCCGGTGGTGCCGGGCGACAACGGTGGCGACACGTACGCGAGTGCGACATACGCAAACGCCAGCCTTTCTGGAAGCGCATATGTTGAGACGGCCACGCGCAACCGGTACGAGACGGCCGGCCTCTACTCGCGGCCGCGGACGGAGGGCGGTGTGAGCATTCCACAGGCGTCCGACGCCACCACGCCATATGCGGAGCTTGGTGCGGACCACGTGCCGTACCAGACCAACGCTGACATCACTAACGAGATGAAGAGCCTGTTGATCCGGCAGGGGTACATCCCGGCCGATGAGGAAGGGGAGGAGGGCGACGACTATGACTACGCGCGCCCAACACACGCCATCCCCGGGCAGATGGAGGAGGTGTACCAGACCCCGGACACGGGCCCAGTCTACGCTGAGGCCATGCCTGGCGCGGCAACATACTCAGAAGTCCCACGCCCAGGTGCAACGGCCCAGCAGCAGCAGCAGCAGGGGCTGGTGCCACCTGGTGCCGGGTTGCACGTGCCACGGCGTCGCACGGCACAGGCGGTGCAGAACAAGGTGTACGAATCCATGACGGAGGAGGAAACCGAAGAAGATGATGGCGACAAGGTGGACTTTGTCTAACGTGGTGTGCACGTGTGTTGTGACGATGACGGTGATGTGCTGTGTATGATGTGTGTCGTGAGCATTTTGTGATGAGTTGTGCATGCTGCGTCTCGTCTCTGGACAGCATCGTTGTGACCATGGTTTGGTGTGGCGTTGTGGGGTTGTTCCAACAGTTACGTACGTACGTGTGTGTGTGTGTCTGTGTGTCTGTGTGTCTGTGTGTGCTGGGGCGGTTGTTTCTGATGCAAAAGGGACGCTTTGGACGACCCCCAAATATGATGATGGTACAAGAAGTGCTTTTGTTCTTTTAGCAGTTGTAGTCGTAGTTGCAGTAACTGGTGCAGTAAACAATTGTGACTGTGGCGGCTGGGAAACCAAGGGTGCAAAGGGCTAAGTGGGGTGTTACAGTTTCGTAGGTGGAGGGACGAGAGAGTGGGGGGGGGGGGGAGAGGGAGCTTGAGGCTACAAGATGCCACCAGCAGATTATTCGGCGTGCGTGTTGTTGTTGCTTTCCTGCTGCCATTCATGAGTCATCATTGGGCAATTGCGCAAAGGCAAGCAAGACAAGCAAGCAAGCAAGCAGGCAACAAGACAGACGAGGACGGCAGCATGCGCTTGTGGGTTGGTGGCGGTGGACGAGGGGAGGATGGGTTGGAGGAGGAGGAAGAGGTGCTGGTGTTGGGATCGGGCCTGCGATCGCTGCCGTCCACATCGGAGCTGTCCCAAGAGGAGCCAGAGGCAGGCACTGCACGCTCCAGCGTCGCCACCTGCACGTGCGTGCACGTATGTGTGAATGTGTGTGTGTGTGTGTGTAGATGTTGTGTGTGGTAGTGAGTGTGTGAGTGTGTGTGTGTGTGTGTGAATGTGTGTGTAGATGTGTGCAGATGTGTGTGTGAGCATGCACGTGTGTAGATGTGTGTGTGTGTGTGTGTGTGTGTGTGCATGCGCGTGAATGCTTCACATCATCCGAGATCCCTGCCACCTCTCCTTGTCGAGCTCTCACGCTCAACTTGATTTCGATCTCCTTTGAGTGCAGGTTCAACCTCATCAACACAATCATTGGAGCCGGTGTGCTGTCGTTGCCGTATGCGTTTGCGTTAACCGGCTATGCGGGAGGCATCATCCTGTTGCTGCTGAACGTCGTCGGCGCAGACTACTCTCTGCGCGCTCTCTTACACTGCTCAAAGGTGCGCTTCTGTGTGCACTTAATGGTACCAAAGCGGGATTTGTCTCTTGTTGCGTATCCTGGACCGATCGCATTTACAGCTCCAGCCAAGCCCGCACATGCTCACGCCACACACACACATACATACACACACACACACACACACACACACACACACAAACACACATATACACATGTTTACAGGCGTGTGGCAGACGCACGTACGAAGGCGTGACGGAGTTTGCATTTGGGCGCGTGGGCCTCGCGATTGTGTCTGCATCCTCCATCCTGCTCAACATCGGGGCGGCGACGGCGTACATTGTCATCATTGGCGACACGCTGCCGCACCTGATTGTGGACTTTGGCGGGGAAGACTTCCTGGCACGGTCATGGGAACGCATTTGGTGCACGGGCATGGTGATGATGATTGCCCTCATCCCACTCAGCCTGCTGCGCAACGTGACATACCTTGGCTACACCAGCCTCCTCTCGTTTGCTTGCGTGTTTGTGTTTGTGTTTGTCATGCTGGGCATTGCAACCGAGGGCCCGCAGCACGATCCAGATGCTATCGAGCACACAAAGGTGTGTGTGTGTGTGTTTGGTGGAATGGGTGATTTGAGACTGCGTGTGCGCATGCTTCTGTGCGTTTGTGTGTCTGTCTGTCTGCCTGTCTTTGTTTATTCCTCTTCCTCCTCCACGCGTGAACTCGCATCCCCATAACCACCACCACCATCACCGTGAACACTGCCGCTGCAGCCTGCTGCGTTCGTTGGGTCGACCAACCTCTTCCGGGCAGCAAGTCTGCTTGCCTTCAGCTTCACGTGTCACTCAACCATGTTCCCCATCTACCTCGAGCTTGAAAAGCCGACCGTCAAGCGCATGACCACCGCCATCCACAGCGCCATGGTGTGTCTGTGTGTCTGTGTGTATGTATGTATGTGTGTGTATGTATGTGTGTGTATGTATGTGTGTGTGTATGTATGTATGTATGTATGTATGTGTGTGTACGTGCATGTGTGTGCATGTGTGTATATGTGTATGTATGTGCTTTAACACTTGCTTTTTTGCATCGTGGTGCGTGCACCTTGAATCTGATTGTCCTGGCTCACGCTTCTGCTTGCTTGGTTGTTCGTTTTGCAGATTGTGTGCTTTGGGCTGTATCTGATTGTTGGACTGTGCGGCTATCTCACGTATCAGGACACTGACGGGGTACGTACCTGGTGCTGCGTTTGCGCGTGAATGCATGTGGATATGTTTCACAGATGACACAAGCGTTCCTGTTGAAGCTCCTCCCCTCACTCGCAAACGCACATACACTTGCGATCACACTCACTCACTCACTCACTCACATACGCCCATACATGCACTTCGCTCACGTGTTCAGGGCGTGAAAGGCGATGTGCTGGTGAACATTGGCCTGAACGAGAACCGCGCAATCACAAACGTCGTTCGCATCATGTACCTCATCAGCATCATCAGGTACCAAACGTGCGTGTGTGTGTGTGTGTGCATTACCTAGCGCGTGTGATTGAATGTGTGTGATTCTAAATGTGTGTGTGTGTGTGTCTCTCTCTCTCCTTCTCTGTCTCTCTCTCTCTGTGTCTCTCTCTCCTTCTCTCTCTCTCTCTCTCTCTCTCTCTCTCTCTCTCTCTGTGTGTGTGTGTGTCTCTCTCTCTCTCTCTCTCTCTCTCTCTCTCTCTCTCTCTCTCTCTCTCTCTCTCTCTCTCCCGCTCTGTGTCAGATGGGAACATCTGCCCGGTAGCTCTGACCAGCGTGCTCAAACACACCTCACATGACCACGTGTGCTGCTTCTGCTGCAGTTGTTGTTCTGAAGCAAGACCTGGACGTGATCATGGGCATATGTGACGCCCTGGCCGATGCAAACCAACTCAAACCGGTTCGTTGTCCTCCAATGTGGCTCATATTGGGTGCTGCGTGGCCCGCCGCTCGGAGCGAAATGCTCCGGGTTTGTTGGTGTTCTGCGTGCTGGTCGCGGTTGATGTCTGCACATGTGTCGCCTGTCACTTCGTCTCAGTGTGTCTCTCTCTCTCGTTCTCTCTCCTTCTCTCTCTCTCTCTCAGTCTCTGTCTCTCTGTCTCTCTGTCTCTCTGTGAGGATCTCTCTACTGTGTGCCTTGTCAGTGCACCAAGCAAACAATCACAAATCGACCTTCACTTATCGCTCCTCCCACCCTCTTTCTCTCCACCTCTTCAACTCCTCTCCCTTCCGCCAACCAAACCTGCAGCACATATCCGCTGGCGCTGCCTCCAATTCGACAGGCCGTGGGAGGCCTGTTGTTCCAGAACGACCACCCAACCTCGTGGCCTATCCTGCGACACCTGGCGCTATCCTTTGCCGTTCTGGTCCTCACCTTCCTCTTTGGCAACTACGTGCCTGTGCTGGAGTTTGTGTTTGGCCTCACGGGCGCCACTGGCGGCGTGATGCTCGTGTACATTCTGCCCGCTGCCATCAGCTTGAAAGTGCGCCAGCGCCTGTCCGTCACCACACGCGTCATTCTCTGGACCATGCTCATCGTCGGTATTGCTCTCGGTCAGTCGGGAGAGCTGGTGGTTGGGGTTGAGGTTTGGATGGGGCAGGGGAGGGAGTGGAAGTGCGTGAGAGTGTTCTGTGCGTGTTTGTGTGTGTGTGTGTGTGTGTGTGTGTGTGTGTGTGTGTGTGTGTTTGTTTGTGTGTGTGTGTGTGTGTGTGTGTGTGTGTGTGTGTGTGTGTGTGTGTGTGTGTGCTGGCTGCCAACCATATGTCAATAGTTTGCGTCTTGCAAAATTTCACCACGGCCGTCACCATGTTCTTCTTGTCATGGTCACCTGCAGGCGTATTATCCACCGCATACACCATCGTTGATCACGTGTCGTAGTCACCGCCAATCAGACTTGCCTTTGTGATGTGATGTGTGCTGCTGTCCCTCCGTCGTGTTCTTTGTTGTGATGGCCTTGGATTGTACGCTATGGTGCTCCTGTATTACACTCTTGTGTTATTCTCGCTCCTCTCATTTGTCTCATCTCCTCGTTACATCAGGACAGTGCACATCTGTGATTGTGTTGTGTGTGTGTGATTGTGATTGTGTTGTGTGTGTGTGTGTGTGTGTGTGTGTGTGTGTGTGATTGTGCTTGTATGTGTGTGATTGTGTACGTCAGCTTTCTTCATTTGCTTGTTTCAGGAATGGCGCATGCAAATCATGCTTGGTAATTGCACTCTTCCTTGTTTTTCAATTCGACCAACCCGCCTCACGCGTAGTGTGCGTGCCTGCACCCAAAGGATCAGATGCAATAAATTGATAGTTTGGGCCCGTGTTCCATTACATCATTCGCAACACACACACACACACACACACACACACACACACACACACACACACACACACACACACACACACACACACACACACGAACACACGTCTTGGTCTGTTAGCAGTTTACTGGTTGGTGAATAAACACTTGGGGGTCAGAGGTTGAACCGAACAGCACAGACAAAACCCGCCGCGGCGATGAAGGGGTTTCATGTGGGAAGCGCAACAGCACAAACGTTGACAACACGTGCAAGAGGAGGCTGTCTGTAGATATCAACACAATCACGGCGCCAGCAACACAAGCGTTGTGCGCGCACATGACAAACATTAAACACCAAAGGGGTGCTCATGGCACCCCTCTGCACACACACACACACACACACACACACACACACACACACACACACGCACACACACACACACACACACACACACACACACACACACACACACACACACACACACGTAGACACACACACACACACACACACACACGTAGACACACATCTCCAACAACACCGGCAACGTCAAGAGTAGACACGCTTGATGGTTTCGATGAGGGAGGACTCTCGCGATGAAGGCGCCACAAGCTCAAACGTGGGCACGGGCACGTGGAACAAACGTCCATCCTCGTCGTCCTGATGCAAGAAGGTGAAAAAGCCTCCCATCTTGCCTTGCTCCGAGTCCAGATACGTTTTGCTCGAGTACGAGAAGAAGGTCGACTCTTCGTTGAACGACGGCTCAAAGCCAACGACGCCGCGGCCAGTGACCGTCTCCAGGTGCCCCTGGGAATCTTGCGTTATCCACGTACGCTGAATTAAATTCAACGGCATGGACGAGTGCGACTCAATCAGGATCTGCCACATGCGCGTGTGCATGCGTGTGCGTGCGAGCATGGGTGTGTGTGCGTATGCATAAGTTAGAAGCAGAAATGGGTCAAAGAAAGCCAGGGTGGTGTCTGACGTTCAACCATACACAAGCACACACACACACACACACTCACACACGCACACGTAACACGCAACGCACACAAGCACAAGCACACACACACACGAGCACACAAGCACACACGCAACACACACACACACACACACACACACACACACACACACACACACACACACACAAGCACACGCACCTTGTAGAACCAGTTGTGGCTGTGCCTGCCGCGCGCTGCGTAGAAGGGGATGGCCTTGATGGTAAAGTCACCAAACGAGAGTTCGTACACGACGTTCTGTGACAGCTCTCCCTCCACGCGCTCGGCCCAGCGCTCATGGACCGGCCGCGCCACCGCAACGGCGTCATCATCGCCGCTCGCGTGCACCTCGGGCTTGAAGAGGAGGTTGATGTAGTTGTTGTCAAACTGGGGGTCGCTGGGCTCATATGGCATGATGTCCTTGTGGGCAACGTAGTCCACGTACTCGATGGCTGGGTTGGACATGATGGGTGTGCGGCACGCAATGTTCGTCCGCGTATCCTGCGCAAAGTCTTGTCGATCAACCATCACCTGGTGTGTTTGGTGGGTTGGTGGTGGTGTGTGTGTTGGAAGCACAAAGCATTTGGGCAGCAGTGTGGGGTGGGTGTGGAGAGTGACACGCACGAAAAGGTGCTCACAGAGAGAGAGAGTGTGTGTAGGTGTGTGTGTGTGACAGAGAGACAGCCACACACACACACACACACACACACACACACACACACACACACACACACACACACACAAAGACACAGACAAGCACACCCAAAACAAACAAACAACCAAACAAACAACGAAACAACCAACCAACCAAAACAGACACACACATACACAATCGCACGCACCTGATACCAGTACTGGCGCTCGAAGCGAAACGGAGTGGAGAAGCGAATAATGTCGCCATCAAGCGCGGGAAGCACGCGCATGTTCACGTCCGTCAGATCCCAGCTCTCCTGCACAAACCCAAACAGGTCGGTCCGGCCATCACACGCCTTGACCGCGGTAGAGTTTGGCACGACGATGGTCTGTTGCCCTCGTTGAAGGGGTTGATCTGATGCATGTGTGGACTCGCTACCCGCATCCTGCTGCTGCTGCTGTTGTTGTTGTTGCTGTTCAGATGCAGCCTTCTCTTGGTCGGCTGCGACCTTCCCTTGTTTCTTGGTTGAGGAAGACGGTTTCCTATGTGAGGCGTCAGCCGTGATGTCGTAGGCCCTCATGATGGCCTTGGCGTTGCGGCCCAACCCAAGACGGGCCACCGTGTCGGTGCCTTTGTGTTTGGACGAAAGCACGTCCGGCGGTTTGTCTGCCATCGGGCTCTGCGTGCGCCCTGTGTTTCCGTCCGCAGAGTTGCTGTCGTCGCTGCCGTCGCTGCCTTGGCTTGGTGTTGGCGGCGTAGCGGAAGCAGGTGTGGCGTTGTTGACATGCACGCCGAGCGCAGACAGCTCGTTCCGGGGAAGCACAACACTGCGGAGCTGGCCGCAGTCATAGATGATGGTGTCGGCCTTCCACACCGCAGTAATCACGCCGCGATAGCCGAGCTGCTCATGCACGAAGAACTGGCCCGCCTTGTATGGCTTGTCATTCGGCCGTGGAGGCGCGAGCTTGCCAAGCTCTTGCAGATGCCGCCGGGTGGATCTCAGTGCACACACACGACACGCAGAAGTGACGGGCAATGCGTGTTTGCTGGAGGTGGTTATTGCGCATGTTGTTGCTGCTCCTTCCAGTGATCCTGCTGTTGTTCTTGCTGCTGCTGTTGTTCTTGCTGCCGCTGTGAGCTGTGTGTGCCCGTGAAAGTGGCGTCTTCCCCGAGCACGTGCACGTCCAGCATCTCGCCCAACAACAAGGCTGCTCCACAACGCAGGCACACCACGTCGCATGATGGATGTGAAGGGGCTGTTGAGATGGCAGTTGTGTTTGTCTCTCGTCTCTTCTGTTGTCTTGTTTGTGTTCGTTCGTTGTGGTTGTGGAAATTTGCTGCATGTTTTCACATAAATTTGAACACTGTTGTGTCTGTCTGTGTGTGTATCTCTCTCTCTCTCTCTCTCTCTCTCTCTCTCTCTCTCTCTCTCTCTCTCTCTCTCTCTCTCTCTCTCTCTCTGTGTGTGTGCTTGGTGCTCTCTTGGTGCTCTCTGGTTGCTCTTCTGACGTGCAATGTCCATCGATTCTCGTTTATGGCAGTCGTTTCAGTTGTGTATGGTGGCGGACAAGGACGAGAAGATGAGGGTAGGAGGATTCAGAGGTTTAAGACGAAGAGGAAGGTGTCTGTTTTGGCATGTGCGCATGCGCACAGTCGCACAGTCGCGCACGGGTGCTTGTTGGTTAGTGGTCAGCCTTGCTGACGGTGAAGTAGGCGTGCACGTAGTCCATGCCGTGGTCGGTGGGCTTTTCGCTGATGCGCTCCGCATAGCGATCAAACAGCTCGTCCACCAGCTTGTCCCGCTCCTCCTCGCTGTTGGAGACATCCGGTGTTAGAGAGGTGTGTGTGTGTGTGTGTGTGTGTGTGTGTGTGTGTGTGTGTGTGTGTGTGGTTGGATCAGTGAATGAGGTCACAATATCCTCTTGTTCTCTTCTCTTAACATGTCTTACCTGCTCACCTTTCACTTCACACAGAAACACACACACACACACAATCGCCACACACACACACACACACAATCGCCACACACACACACACATGCACACACACACACACATGCACACACACACACACACACACAATCGCGCACACACACACCTGTGCTTGGGTGAGAGGCCGCTGCGGAAGGTGCTGTTGCTCCAGGTGCGAGTGGTTGGCACAAAGGTGCGCGCATAGTCCTTCGGCTTGATTTTGCCTGCAAGCAAGCTCTGGCGGAACGGGCAGGGCGTCACCCGCGTCTCCAGCCGGTCCAGTGAAAGAGAGGAGAGCTCGGCATCTGCAGGAATACAAGAGCATGGAAGAAAGCGCACAGGCAGACAGAAAGGGATGAGTTGGCTGTGAGATGGGGACGCATGGCGAATGCAACGTGCTCGCAGGGTTTGTGTTTGCGCATGTGTGTGTGTGTGTTTGCGCATGTGTGTGGTGCCTTGGGAAGGGGAGGGGGTTGCACTGGTTGTTGCGAGTGTCACCACACACCCTCGCTCCAATCCAGCCTCCAACCAGCCACCACCTCCAAACACACCACTAACCAACAAGCACACTCCCTGGTGCCAAGCCATACAGACCGTGGAAAACGGCGCGGTGCTCGTCCTCAGTCCGGTACTGGTGCGGGAAGTTGGTGTTGGCAACCTCCTTGTCCGTGATGAGCCCTTCCCGTGCCATGCCACGCCAAATCTCATTGAAGTTGGTGTGCATGCAGCCTTCACACAGAGAATTGGGTGCGCGCGCGTGGGTTTGTGTTTGTGTTTGTGTGTGTGTGTGTGTGTGTGTGTGTGTGTGTGTGTGTGTGTGTGTGTGTGTGTGTGTGTGCGTGTGCGCGTATGTGTGTGTGTGTGTGTGTGTATGTGCAGAAGTGATGTGAGCTGTATGGGTGTGCAAAGGGGGAGGAAAGACAATAATGAAAAAGGGCACGAGTTTGAGGGGACCGCGTAAGGGCCGTGCAGCCGCAATGAAAGCCACCCCCCCCCTCTCTCTCTCTCTAACACAAAAAAACCCACCACGACTCACTTGGGGTCTTGTGCGTGTGGCCGAGGAACTGGCCGTCTGGATCTTTTGCAAAGTTCACGCACACAAACTGCGCACCCGCCTTCATCTCGTTCTTGCGGAGTTTGAAAATGTGCTTCAGGTCCTTGTGCGCCTGATCCGAGTACATCTTCTTCGCGTGCGCTGCGGTTCGGGAGAGGGAGGGAGAGCGTGTGGGTGCATAGCGGGTGATGATGAGATGCAGCAAAGTCGTCGTCGCTGCCAGCGAACACGCATTGTGTGTGGCAAAGCAACGCAAGCACAAGCAAGCACTCAAGAACGAGAGCAACAGATGCCACCAGCCTCCAACGAACAGTTGTCGCGTTTCCTCTCACACGTCTCTACATCAGCTGGGTTCGTACCGTCCTGCGTGTAGGAGGAGTGGAGCGCATCTGGGATTGGGCAGGGCGCAGATGTCAGCCAGTGCATGGCCGTGGCAGCGTACCCAAAGTCAACGGTCGCATCCGGCGTCACCTGGATGATGGTGGGGTGGGTTGTCGTGAGTGTATTGTGTGATGAGTGTATTGTGTGATGAGTGTATGGTGTGGCTGGTGAGATTTGAGGTTGAGGGCGTGCAGCACCAACAGAGGGTGAGGTAAAGTACCTCAGGACCCAAACCCATCAGCACGACCACCCACACGACTCACAAGCATCACTTCGTCATTGCTGAGCCACCTCATCCTTGTCTTCCTCTCCGCCATGTGAAGCGATGTACCTGCTGGTAGAACGAGGTGCCGGATGCCATGATGTACACGTTATCGTCCATGTCCAGCAGTGTCTCCATTGGCGTGTCATCCTCTGCATGAGCGCACAGGGAATAGGAGGAGTGAGGTGAGGAGAGGAGGCTCGTGCTGTTGGGTTTGGTTGTAAGACACATGACACGGTGATTGGCAGTGTACATGATGAGGTACAACAAGAACGCATGAGCCATCCATGTGTTGTGTGTGTGACTTGCTTACGAGATGAAGCTGGCGTGGGGATGATGCCGTGCATGCGCTTGAAGAGGCTGTTGTAGTCGTTGACGGGCTGGTCCTCGTAGAGAAACACGACAGGGTCGCGGGGCAGCGACTCGCGCAGCTGGTGCAGCAGCTCTGTCAGGAGGGTACTGCCGTGAGAACGCGAACACCAAGGTAGGGCAGGACACGAAATCACACACACACACACATGGGCTTGCAGTAGGCACACTGGCCACAGCACGCGCATCGGTTGGGATGCAGCAGACACACACACACACACACATTCACACATTCGCACACACACGCACACACATTCGCACACACACATACACACATTCACACACACACACGCACACACACACATTCAAACGCACTGGCAAAGAGAGGCATGGATGTGCCGCCGTCGGCCGTGCCGTAATCGGCAATGGTGAAGGGCTTGCCGTCGTTGCGACGCTTGTACGCTTCAATGGCGTGGCCCATGGCTTCCTGGCACAGGTCGGTTGAGTTGCCAATCACATCAAAGCAGCCCTTTGTTGCCAGGGTGTAAAAACCTGCACAACCAAACACAAGCATGTGGTGAGGAGCAACCAAGAAGGAAACCCGCAGCCGAGCACGAATAGACGAATGCCACCGCAGCCACGAAAGCACACACACACACACACACACACATGTGAAGCAGCCTCGCAGCATTACCTGTGCCTTCCTTTCCGTATGGAACATGTTTGCCTTCTTGTTCCTTGGTTGTCGCCCGACGCGTGCGAGAGCCGGAGCTTGAGCTCATCATCTTGGCAGACAGTGCTTGCTTGCTTGCTTGCTTGCTTGCTTGGTGATGGAGGAAATGGACCGGTCTCACCCGAACCGCATTGAGCGGGCGAGCTGGCTGGAGGGTGAAGCAATAATCCTTCAGCACGCATCAAGCAACAAGCAGAGCGATGAAGCAAGTCAGCAAGCAAGAAGCAAGAAGCAAAGAAGCAAGAAGCGATCAATCATCACATCAACACATCATCATCAACCGCTGTGCGGCTGCAGTTTGTCGTGTCGAATGTTTGCCTCGAATGAGACCAAAAACACGGCAACTGTCCGCGCGTTTTGCTGGCTTCCTCTTCCGGCGCCACCAGTGGATATGGGTGTCGTTTTGGCAGTGGTGTTGCTGCTCACCATCTTGACCTTCTGCCCCACGCTGAAAGGTGAGGGCAAGGGGTTGCGACAAGTTGCGAGGGGTCAGCAACATGCTTGCTTGCTTGCTTCGGTGTGAAACCCTTGTACATGAGAAGAGGCGATGACTGGAGGAATATGTGTGCTTGTTTCAAAACAAAACGCCGCTGTCCTGCTGTCCTTGTCAGCGTGATGTGATGTATGACAAGGACAATCACCTTGTTCTTCTCCCTTGTTGTCCGTCTGTTGTTTCACAGTGTCAGCGCAGTGCACAACAACCTGTGAAGCAGGAGAGAAGTGCGTCGGTTCAGATTGCGCCGAGTGTGACCCAGGTACAGCATCAACACAAAACATACAATATCGTGGTTTGAGGTGTTTGGGGTGACATTGCATCTTCTCGGCGCTTCCAAGTCCGGTCCCTAAAACAACTACACCCACCACTGCCCCCTTCTCACTATGTCGCTACACTGGGCGTGCGTGCTGGTTGCTTATTTCTGCTCAAGGCACATTTCAAGATGCAAACGACCACATGCAGACCACGTGCAAGACATGCATGAACCTGAACGCCTACCAGCCAAACTCCGGTCAAGCAGGTGTGTGTGTGTGTGTGTGTGTGTGTGTGTGTGTGTGTGTGTGTGTGTGTGTGTGTGTGTGTATTGTGCTGTGCTGTGCCACCCTGCGCTGAAAGCATAATTGCACTCACCCCCTCCCCGCACATACACTCACACATCTGAATACCGCTTCATGCTTGCAGGCTGCATTGAGTTTGCGTCATGTGGCCGAGGCAAGAAGTTTGTGACCGGCACAACCACGACACCTTCCACATGTGTAAACTGCGATGCAGGTACACCACGAGTGTCCTGTCGGTGCATGCTCTCCTTAGCTCCTTTGGTGTGCCTGATTGCCAGACATGCTGCATTACAGTCAGGATTGCTTCTGCATGCTATTCAGCGCCTTCACTTCATCTTCACTTCATTCAACCCATTCTCCCATTCCCCACCCATCTGCCTTGTTGTTGCATGCAGGCACATATCAGGATCAAAACGGTCATTTTGATCCAGACTGCAAACCGTGCACGGGAAACACGTTCACAGACCAGCCGGGACAACAAGGTCTGTGTGTGGTGTGTGTCTGTGAATGTGTGAATGTGTGTGTGAATATGTGCTTTTGTGTGCGTGTGTGCGACTGTCCATCCGCACAGTTGCTCACCTCGAGTGTTCATCCAGTGACTTTGCTTCCTTACGCTTCCTGCTCCTTCTTCTTACCCTCTCCGCCTCACCTCACCTCACCTCCCCACGTGTCCATGCACGTTGACAGGCTGCTCGGCGTGGTCGTCGTGCAATCAGGGCCAGAAGTGGGCAGCGGGTTCAGCCGATGCAGACGCAACATGCTCAAGCTGCACTCCAGGTTGGTGTGTGTGTGTGTGTGTGTGTGTGTGTGTGTGTGTGTGTGTGTGTGTGTGTGTGTGTGTGTGTGTGTGTGTTATCAGCACCATGGTATGCTTCATTGCTTGTCTTCATCTGCCATGGATGGCATGACATGTGCCCCTTGTCTTCACCATTATCACCACCACCACAACTCCTGCCAGGCACGTACCAAAATGAGTTCAGCCACCAGCACACATCGTGTAAGGGCTGTGGAGCTGGAACGTTCCAAAGCGGACACGGCGCCTCAGGTCAGCCACCCACACATGTGCACGTCTTTGCTGGTGATTTCCTCCACCTTGGCGTGTCGTTTCTTTGTGCAATCAACAAACGGAGCACCATTGTCTTCTCATTCGCGTGTGTGTATAAGTGTCTTTCGTGCACTCACTTGCTTCCACTGCCCCTTTTCTTGCGTCAAACAGGTTGCGACGACTGGAAGACATGTGGAAAAGGCAAAAAGTGGGCGACTGGAACGTCCACAACGGATGCAACGTGCTCGCCTTGCGGATCATGTAAGCAGCAGGGATCAGGGGTCGAAGCGGCGTGTGTGTGTGTGTGTGTGTGTGTGTGTGTGTGTGTGTGTGTGTGTGTGTGTGTGTGTGTGTGTGTGTGTGTGTGTGTGTGTGTGTGTGTGTGTGCCAAAGGAGCTCCTTTGCCTGCACATGCTCTTCCCGTCCTCACTCACTCCCTCCTCCCTCACTCACACTCATTCACCTCATGTGCAGTTGAGTTCCAGTCCAAGTCTTCGCACCAGGACACCTCGTGTACCTCGTGGTCCACGTGTGGGCCGGGGTATGAGGTGACCATCGAACCGACAGCCAGCAACGACCGCTTGTGTGCAATGTGCGATTACGGGCACTACCAGGATGACACAAACCAGATGGACTGCAAGCCGTGTGATCCTGGCCAGCACCAAGACGAGCGCGGGCAAATTGAGTGCAAGGCGTGTGGTGCAGGCAAATACCAGGGCAGCTCTGGCCAAAAGGGTATGCGCAATGGATGTTCAGGCCCTTGCGTTTGCTCTGCCTTGTGTGCTGTACTGTTGGCGTGCGTGGGGCGGTGATGGTGGCACTGCATCTCAGCCCATGCAACCATGGTTCTGCAAATACAATTACACACACACACACGTACACTAACAATGTCTCTCACGTGCTTTGGCTGTCGCGTGTCAACTATGTGCACGACAGACTGCATTGCTTACAGCACGTGCGATCGAGGAGAGCGGTGGATCAGCGGAACGAAGACGAAGGACTCGTCGTGCAGGAGCTGCGATATCGGTGAGTTGGCTCGGTCATTGCGATGCTGGGACACAATGAACACATGTGCGGCATTTTCGAGGGTGGTGGTGCATAGTTGCTGTGACGCCGTGCAGCTGCTGCTCCACTCACTCTGATACACACCACACAACACACAACGCGATTGTTGCACGTCTGTGCCACCGCAGGCAAGTACCAGAACTTCCTCAACCACCAGCGCACATCGTGCAAGACGTGCCCTGATGGGAAGTACCAGCTGAACACGGGGCGTGGTAGCTGTCCAGACTGCACCACATGCGAGGACGGGTTCGAGGAGGTGCTGCCTTGCACACCGACATCCGACCGCACATGCACAGGTACGGTGTTGTACATGGAAGGCATTGTTTGTGCAATGCCACGTGCATGGCCACATTTGGTTTGTTGGGAGCACACAGATGAAGAGGACGTGTGACTGTGACTTGCGCCTGTCTGTCCTCCACTGCCGCCATCTGCCTTCATACCTGACTTGCACTCTCCACCACACAAACACGCACACACACGGGATCATGCTGCAGAAAATGACCCGCCTACCATCGTGCTGCGGCGGCCAGACAACAACGCCGTCATCACAAACACGTACACGGTTGAGGCTGGGCTGCCTTTTGAGCCCCCAATCTTCACGGCAACAGACACGGCGGCCGGTACCGTCACAAAGACGCCACCACCCAACCTCGGCGATATTGACACGAGTGAGTGCGTGAATGCCGTGAATAGATGTGGTGCCCTTCTGGGTGCGGTTGATCACTCGCTTCTTGGTTTGCACTGCATCTTGTTGCATCCTGTTCTCACACGGATCTCACCTCACACACACACACACACACAATGCACACACACACACAATGCACACACACACACACACACACACACACACACACACACACACACACACAATACACACGCACAGGCACCGTGCGGTCTGACCAGATGCTGACGTACAAGGCGACGGATGCGAACATGAACACGGCAACACGCACCATCACCGTGGTAGTCGTGGACACGACAGGGCCCGCCATCACATTTGACCCTGCAGTGCTGCAGCTGGAGGCCGGGGAGGAGGTGATGCGCAGCAATTTCACGGCCGGCGTTTCCATCGTGGACCGCGTGGACGGAACACTCGGCATCGACCTGCTGGAGTACGATGCCAGCGACGTGAAAGTGAACAAGCTGGGCATGTACGAGGTGGTGTACACGCTGTCTGCATCCGACTCGAACAACAACGAAGCGCCACCCACCACACGCACAGCAGCCGTCGTCGACACCCTTCCACCGGTGTGTGTGTGTGTGTGTGTGTGTGTGTGTGTGTGTGTGTGTGTGTGTGTGTGTGTGTGTGTGCGTGTGTGTGTGTGCGTATATATGTGTGTGCGTGTGCATGTGTGTGTGTACATGAGTGTGTTTCGGTTGTGTGCTTGCCTACCTTCGTGGACACTCACTTACCTCCTTGCCTCCGAGTCTCCTTGCCTCCGTTTCTCCTTGCCTCCCATTCAACTCCTTTATCTGTTCACTTCCTCACCAATCCCTGTCACACATTGCCAACCAATCATAGGTCATCACCATTGGTTTTGGCGACCGCGAAGTGTCGGAACACAACGTGGTTATCCACGAGGCGGCAACAGAGTTTATCTTCCCGAGCCAGTCTGCATTTGATACATTCGACACCGCTGTCAACGGCGGCGATGTGCGACGCAATGAAGAGCCGGTGCGTTGTCGCTCTTTTCCTGTATCTTCCTTGTCGCTATTGTGTCTTAACCACGTCATGCGCCATTCCATCGCTTCCATTTCTCCCACTTCTCACTCCCCGTCTCACGCACCCTTTTCCCTTGACACTCACATTCCCCCCGACTTCCCTCCCCCAACACTCCCCCTGTTCGCAGACCTTCCACTCGGTTGTGGACGATGGCACGCAGTTCACGTTCACGTACACGGCGACGGATGCATCGGGCAACACGGCGACGGTGGTGTATGTGATTGAGGTGCGGGACACGATTGCGCCAACCATCACCATCAATGGCGAGCACAACATCACGCACGAGGCCGGGACGGAATATGTCGATGCAGGAGCAACGGCAACGGACCTGCTGGAGGATGCGATTGGGCGCGGGGTGGAGGTGGTGGTCACCAATAACGTGTTGAGCAAGCCGCCGTCTGTGCCCGCGGTGTTCACGGTGGAGTACGACGCGTGCGACAAGGCCGGCAACTGTGCCAAGGCAACGCGCTCCGTGACCGTGCTGGACCGCACAGCCCCGAGCATCAAGCTCATTGGCGGCTCACCACTGGTCGTAGGAGCGGGAAGCAACTTCACCGACATCGACCCTGGCGTGACGCTGGCTGACCTGTACTACGACAACGCCGACCTGACGCTGGTGATTGACGAGGGAAGCTATTTGACCACACCAACAACAGCTCCGGTCTCCTTCAACGTCACATACACGGTGGCAGACCCGTCCCGCAACACGGCCAGCGTCACGCGCACCATCACCATCATCGACACAACGCCGCCAGACCTACGTGTCAACGGGAACCTGAGCGTGACGGTTGGCGACGGCGTGACGTGGGTTGAGCCGGGCATTGCACGTGCATATGACAACATCGATGGTGATGTGCGATCGCGTGTGGTGGCGACGACGCAACTTGAGGAGGCCGGCGTTGTTGTTCCCACCATGTGTGCGTATTCATCTGCGCGCGAGTTTGTGCCGCCGCTGTCGCCGTGCGTGTGGTCTTCACCTCGAATGGACGCGGTGGAGTCGAGAGCGCCGAGCGGCACCGTGTACCGCATCAACTACACGGTGGCGGACGCAGCGAGCAACGTGGCGTTTGTGGAGCGCGTGGTGCGGGTTGCAGACCCCTCGTCGCCTCTCCTCCGCGTCAATGGTCGTGGTGTCATGACGCTGGAGTTTAGTGACGATCGAGGCTCATTTGCCGATCCTGGAGCAACAGCTCTCGACGCCCACGACGGCGACCTGAGCGGGGACGTGTGCGTTGGCGTGAGCATTGTGACGCGCGACGCGAGCGGCGTTGTTGCGCCAGGCGACGTTGATGGTATTGGCGAAGCTGCCATCAACTATGTCCTCTCGCTTGCTCGCAACGCATCCACAACAATAGCACCACCTCCCGCCACTTCCACCGCTTCCACAACTACGATGAACGCAGACACAAGCAACAGCAACAGCAGCAGCAGCACAGCGATAACGACCACTGCAGCTGGGACGACAGCTGCGGACATGTTTGGGCTGGACGCTGCTGTGGCGTCGGCGGAGGTGGGCACGGTGTATGTGCTGCAGTACAGCGTGCACGACCGGGCGGGCAACGCCGCTGTTGGTGTGCAGCGGGCGGTGGTGGTGGTGGACACGACGCCGCCCGAGGTGACGCTGTATGGCGCGGAGGAGGTGCACGTGCCGTATGCGACACGGTATGTGGAGGCCGGGTACAGCGCACAGGATGTGCACGACGGCAACATAACGTCGCAGGTGGTGGTGAGTGGGGCCGATGCGATTGACGTGCACGTGGCGGGGACGAACGAGGTTGAGTACGCGGTGACGGATGCGAACGGCAATACGGGTGTCGCGGTGCGGACGGTGGTGGTTGACGGGTTGACACGACCCGATGGTGTGAATACAGTGGTGAGGCTGGTGCTTGCAGGCACGGCGGAGTCCATCTTTGACGGCGACGTGCAGCAGCTGGAGCGCCTGCTGGAGGAGGCGCTGAATGTCGAGTTTGTGGTGGTGTTGAGCGTGGAGGATGGGCCGGCGGTTGTGCTGCGCCCTGAACAACGGCGCGTGATGACGACGGTGGTGCAGTTTGGCGTGCGCAATGCCACGTCCCTGGCGTGGGAGTCCAACACAGATGCGATTGGTACGCTCGAGAGCCGAGCATCTTTGGACAAGGCACGAATCGTTGACGTGCACAGCGCCAACCCTCAAATGCAGTCAGCGTCTTCTTCGTCGTCAAGTTCGTTGACTGTTCTGGCTGGCAGCGTTGCTGGCGGTCTTGTCCTCGCGGTACGTATGTGCGTGTGTGCGTGTGTGCGTGTGTGTGTGTGCCTACATTGCTAGCCTGTCTGCTGATGCACACGCCTTGATGCTGCCTCTTCATGTCACCATTAACCGTTTGTTCTCACGGTTTTGCGACTGCCCAATGCGACGCAGGTTCTGCTGGTTATCGCTGCTGTTGTGTGGCGGCGAAGGAAGCGGTCACGAGCGGAACTTGCCATGGTGAGTAGCTCTCTGGCATACCTGTCGTGTCCCATTGGATGCCAGCCAAATACCAATCCAGATACGTTCTTCTCTCTTCAGTTGCTAATGTCACTTGCACTTTCTGTTCCTCCCGTGGATTGACTATCGTAGGTAAGCAACATCATCAATGCCACCAACCCCACATTCTCCCCTCACAGTGAGGACACTGGTAAGCATGCTGATGTGTGTGAACGTATGTTTTCTATCCGTGTGTGTGGGTGTAGGTGCTTGTGTGTGTGTGTGTGTGTGTGTGTGGGTGTAGGTGCTTGTGTGTGTGTGTGTGTGTGTGTGTGTGTGTGTGTGTGTGTGTGTGTGTGTGTGTGTGTGTGTGTGTGTGTGACACTGAAGGAAGGTTTAGAATCTGTATCATATTCCTATGAAGGTTCTGGGAATATCAGGCATGACTGAAGGGTGATGACGTTGAGGCTTCCATGCTCACACCTTCACACACTCGAATGCGCGCTTACACACGTCCACACACATATACCCACGTGAACACATCTCCAATCATGGACCCCCTCCCCCCTTAAGCAGGTGATGAAGTGCATGCGCAACATAAATGGGATGCGGCGGTGTACGACGTATCTTCCCCTCAGTTTCATCATCAGCAGCAAGCCATGGGCAGCCAGGGCAGCGAGCTCAGCGATTCGGAACATGTGTACGCCACGCCGTCACTGTTGCCAGAGGTGCCACGAAATCCACAGCAGCGTGGGCGTGTGCACTCTGTACATGCGTGGTCCACAGGGCTGTACGACATTGAAGAGGAAGAGGAGGAGGATGACGACGACGAAGACACCGTATCCCAGCCAGCAGGGCGTGGAGTGTCTGGCTCTGGTTCTGGCCGTGGGGATGTTGGTGCACGTCGTGAAACGTTGTTTGCTCAGCGCATGCAGGCTGCCCGTGAACAGCAGCAGCGCCAACAAGCGCAGCCGACGTATGATGTGGTGGAAGCAATTGGGGCGCACACGGAGAAACACAGCGAAACTTAGAGGGATGAATGAGTGCTACATTGAAGTTGTGACGTTGTGTTACCTGAGTCATGCGAGTCTGTTACATTGGTTCATTCCGCCTTTTAAAGTACATAAAGCTCGCGCTGCCACCTTCAGCTTTAGCTTTTGTGTTATGAAGGCGAGAGAGGCGAAAGAAAAGACAGCTGAAGAAGGATGTCATGTCAGAGGAAGACAGATTCAAGTAACGTCTGCGCAATAGCTCCCTTGATTGGCCATTCGATGTTGTTTGTGTTGCAGGCGATAGACCACTGGTTCACGAGCGCCTCTGTGTCTTGCTGCAGCTTTGTTTCGGCATTCCACAACACTTGATCGAAGGAAGAGAAGACCTCTTGCTGGAAGGAATAGACATCTGTTTGTCATGACCTGCAAGTCACACAGACACACACACACAGAGCAACCATTTGACTTTGAATTGCGTGGTTTATTGCCTGAAATGACAGCAGCATTGGCTCGCGCCAGGCGCTTTAACACATGCAAGACAATAACGGCGGTTTGAGAACGCAGGACGCACGTTGTGTATCAACAGCATGAACACAGCTATGTAATTCTTGGTTGTTGAGCATGCAGATGCAATTAGGGACAAGGCGAGCGAGAGGGTGGAAACAACGCAAAACAGCGAAGCAGGACGAGGGGAGGTGAAGTGCAGCTTGACACACCGAATCCAGGAAAGGGCAACGACATGCCACCGATAACCAAAGATACTTCGAGGGCAGGGGATGTAGGGAACGTTTGTAACACACATGGACAGACAGACACACACACACAGAGACACAGACACACACAGACACAGAGCTGTACAGACACAGACACGTACACAGACACGTACACAGAGCAGACAGACAGACAGACAGACAGACAGACACACAGAGCAGACAGACAGACAGACAGACACACACACACACACACACAGCACGCACGTGACGCGCCGCTCAAGGGAGCGTGAAGCGTGAGCTGGGGCGTTTCGGCGAAGCGTGCTGTCGCTGCTCGCGCGAATGATGCGACTTGATCGGAGACCGATGCTTGTGGTGCGGGCTGCGGTGACTGCCTGCAGGTAAGAATATGGGCTGACCATCAAAGGCGTTGCGCAGCTGCTCGTTGAAGCGACGAACGGCCTGGCTCTGGTTCAGATCGTTACTGCTCAACGGCAAATCTGCCGGCAACGACATGACGCCCTCTCTGGATGTTGTTGTGCAGTTGTGTGTGTGTGAGCGAGAACAACATGTGTGCGTGTGTGTGTGTGTGCGTGTGTGTGTGTGCGTGCGTGTGTGTGTGTGACAGGAAAGTGTGGGATGCATGGCGATGTGTTCGTGATGTGCATTGTGAAACCAGAGCGTTTAGTCACACCAACAAAGCACTGTCCAAGACTCCTCCTCCCAACATGCATGTACGCACTCGTCAATGCGCTCCTTGGAAACGGTGTGGAAGCGAATCATGCTGGGCAGAGACGATGACGACACCGCCGATGGTGATGATGGCGGTGATGGCGATGACGGCGATGCGGCAGTCAGCGGGGAGGCGCTCATCGGATCTGCACTCTCAATGAAATCTGCAATAATGAAGGTCGGGAAGGGAAGGGAAGGGAAGGGAAGGGAAGGGAAGGGAAGGGAAGGGAAGGGAAGGGAAGGGAAGGGAAGGGAAGGGAAGGAAGGAAGGTGCGTGAGGTGGGTTTTGGGTGCCACGGCTTTGAAGGTATGAAGCGGGATAGAGGCGATGGAACAATGTCAGAATGCACGCGTGTCAGAGTTGCCGCACGTCCCAATCTCAATTTGAACGGCACATACCTCTCATGACGTCGATGAATGTCGTGTTGTAAAACTCAACAATGTCAACGGTCGCATCTGCGTCATCATCATCACTGACATCGTCGGATGGCACTGCTGTCCATGCAGCTCGCGACGCCTACAGCACGTGCGTATCGTTGTGTGCAAGCGAGTGGGAGCGGCAATGCAGGTTGTGCATGTGTATTGGAGTGAGTGCGCTTGAAATGCTGAGGTAGCGCACGCATGCACACGTTCTGGCGTGAAGCAAACAACAGGACAAGCAACGCAACAACAACACACACACATAGCGCATACGCACAATCACACAAAATCACACACACAATCACAACGCGCACTCACACAATCCCACAATCCCACACACACGCACACACAAGCACAACTCAAACCACACGTCAAAGAAACTCACATGGTCCATGTTGCGGTAGTGCAGGATGATGCTTCGCATTGTCAGCGTGTCGCTGAACCGTTGCACACATGCAAACAGCGAGCACAACAGCAGCGTGTCGAGGTGGCGGCCAAGGGCAAGGCGTTGCAGGGTGCGGGGCGTCTGCACAATGTGCTTCATGGCCACACCAGCAAGCAGCACCACAGGCGATTTCTGTCGCAAAAAAAGTTGGAGCGTGGCAGCGTGTGCGTGTGTGTGTGTGTTGGGGGGGGGAGTTGTGGTTGGAATTGTGGATGAGAAGGAGGTGAGAAGGGTAAAGGGATGCAAACGTACGCGATATCAGTGTGTGTGTGTGTGTGTGTGTGTGTGTGTGTGTGTGTGTGTGTGTGAGCGATCAACGGCACCTGTGGTAGGTCAAGGAGTTTTGTCAGGGCCACAAGACGCTTTTGAATGAGTGATAGCAACCGCGTCTGCAGCACGCTCCATGCTGTTGTAGAGATGGCGCGTGTTTCTTGTTTACCGCCACGAGTGCTTTTCTTCCCCGCCAACGCCTTTGCACGTCTGCAACAAGCAGATCAGGCACAATGGTGTCGGTATGTGCACGTGTGTGTGTTAGATGGTATTTGTGTGTGTGTGTGTTAGGTTGTGGTTGTGTGTGTGTGTGTGTTAGGTTGTGGTTGTGTATGTTCACACGCGCGAAAGTTCATAATGTTGTATGAGTACGTGCAGCACACGTGCAAGCGAACGCCGGTTGCAGTTGAGCGTGCTGGGCTGTTTACCTCGACGATGACGACGACGATGCGGCTGTGACTGTCGACTCTTCAGGCGGCGGTGTTTTCTGTAGATACAATTTGATCGCAATGAGCGGTCGGAGCGAAGGGCAGTGGTGCACCTGTTCACGCACGTGCAGGTAAAAACTCATCTCTACACACGCCCATGCACACACGCACACACGCACACACGCACACACGCACACACACACACATACACACACACACAAACACACACACACACACAAACACAAACACGCACACACACACACATACACGCACGCATACATACACACATCTACTCACCGAGCTGTGTGCACGTGGGAATGTCTGTTGGGAACTGAGTGCGGGCTTGCTCTCGAACCAGTCATTGAGTTTGTGTGATGCTGTCCACACGAGGTCAAGAAGACACACGCGTTCGCATGCGGCAATGCGGGCCAGCAGCACCGGTGGGAGGAATGGATTGCTGCGCACAACAATCTCCGTCATCTGAGAGAGAGTGAGAGAGAGTGTGTGTGTAACGAGTTGGATGGAAGAAAATCGTTGCGTGAGTCAGTTAACACACAGCAGAGCAAGTACAAGTATGCGTGAGCGCGCGCGTATGTGGATACGCAGCACATGACTGGTAGTGTTTTGCGGTGCATGCGCGAGCATGCGTGTGTGCATGTGCATGTGCATCATAGCAGTCAATGGATGTGAGGGAAATCACCCATCACAGCAGAGTACAACGTAGCGAGCGTTCACCTGCTGGTAATCGAACGGGTCAACGTCGAGCATGGACACGAGAGAAGGGAACGAGATGGTCTTATCCTGTGGTGATGACGACGGTGGATGATGAGGTGCAGAGGTTGAGAAAAGCGTGTGGAGAGGACACGTGTGAACGGCAAGAAGCAGAGGAACGCTTGAGGCGAGAAGTACGCATACGCAAGGTCAGACGCACACAAACATCTCTCACACACAACACACAAGCACACACACAACACACACACACACACTCTCTCTCGCACACACGTAACTACGAATACAGCAGCGCGTGTGATTGTTGACCTTGTATGCGAACAAGACGAGGTCAAGGGCAAGGGCAACGACGGTTTTGAGAACATCAGCGCGCTGGAGAAGGGAGGACGCGTGTCGCACAAGCCCGCGCGCCGCAAACTCGCGCTCAATGACACCAGACAGCAGCTGCAGTCGTGTTGTGTTGTATGTTTGTGTGTGTGCGTGTGTGTGTTGTTGTTCATGATGGTGTTGTGACAGCGCGATGCGAGTGAGTTGACATGGTGAATGGTGCGCCACAACTTGAGAGCGCGTGTTACCAACGCAGATGAGGTATGCGCTGGTACGCGTGACATGTACGCGTGGATGCTTGCAGGCACACCTTGTATGCGAGGGCTTTGCCGATGCGAGTGAAGTTGGAGAAGAGCTGGGAATTTCTCAGGGCATTTGCCGCAACCCACGCCGTCACCTGAACAATCACGTGCGAGCCAGTACAGATGTCGTGAGGACACAAAATCAATGGTGTAATGCTTCCTCAAGCCACACAGACACACACATACACAGACAGACTCACAGACACGCATATATACAGACACACGGACACGCATATATACAGACACACAAACACGCACACACACACACACACACACACACACACACAACACGGCACACCTTCTGGTCAGCGCGGGCAAAGACGTCTTCGAGCGGCGCTGCTGCGGATTCGGGGACGTCAATACTCGAGAGAGAACGGAGGAATGACAGATGTGCAGCCGGTAACTCGTGCGGGCGTGGAAGGGCCTGAGTTTGGAGGAGATATGGGGGGGGGGTGGTAAAGAGTTTCGTCGTTGGCAGAGGTTGACGATCGAGGGAGGAGGGTGTACGGGAATGGGACATTGTGTGATTGGTGATTGCGCGCGAGTACGTGCATGCGTGGATGTGTGCGCGTGAATGGTTGTGGTTGGTGCGTTGAAGAATACAACCGCCACAACATACAATCAAACGCAGCCGATGCAAGAGACACCTTGCCACGAATTGCAAACACGCGCCAACATACCTGCACGGCGCTGGCGTGGCTGTCACGTGCGCGCTGGCGTGATTTCTGCGGGGAATCTGCCAAGCGCTGACGGCGGTAGTACTGATGGGCAGCGATGCAAGTGGTGGTGGTGATGAGAGCGGTATTGAGAAGTTAGGCTTGTGGTGGCGAGAAGGCGTCAGTGTTGTACATACACACACACACACACACACACACACACACACACACACACACACACACACACACACACACCACC